CGCTGCTCCGTTTAAAAATCTATTGTCTAGTTTCCCATTACATGATAACATAACTTGACTCGTCGATTCAAATTCTCTCGTATCATTCTTTCTATTTACGTCTATTTATTCCGATTATACAATTATTTGTTTCCCTCGTTTACTTTGTTTCAATACTCTACTTTCTTACGCGCGTATGCGATAACATCAAATCGTGTTTCGCATAAGATCTACTACATTCGCAAAGTAACAATAATGCTAAATAAATTGTCGATTATATCTTTAATATCAAATATTAAATTCGATAGAGATTATTTAAAAATTAAATTTAATGAGATAAAAGCTATGTGTGGGATACAAAATATAAAGCGTTAAAATTAAAAAGTTATCAAAATGTTTGACATATTATACGCACCGATGTAGGTTTCGATATTGAATGATTTCAAAATAGTTTTCCAAGATTAAAGTGGAGCAGTAAAAATTTGAAAATTGAGTGACTAATTAGTAGCACTAAATTACACGCGAGAACTATACATTTATGTTTTTGATTTCCCCATTTTTCTTTGTACGTCTCTATGCTAAGTTGACACAATCCTTGATTTTAATGAAAAAATAATGTTACAAATAATGCGACATGTTAGCAACAAAAAAAGTATTAAAATCGCGTATGATTGCGTTTGATTGTACTTAATGTTTTTTCAACTATATCTGTGACGCCCCCATTCCCTCCCCCTCCTCCGAGCAAAGATAGTTTACACTTGATCAAAAGGTGCAATATCTGAGCGTTGATCGTTGATGCGATCAATCTCGATTGCGTACTTGGACAATATGCCGTTAGATTCACGAGATGTATTCGCAAGATTCACGAGATCCTCCTCAAGAGGAGGAAGAGGACACCGGACACCGTTCTGGCGAAATATACGGGAATATTCGGACGGCGCAAGCGCAAATAGCGACAGCAGCCTCATGTGCACGGAGATCTCTACCGTTCACTTGCACACGAAGGCTCGCATTGAGGATCTTAGATATCGGAACGCATTAATCTGCAAATATACTCGTTTCACGCACATTCGTATGTGTTTTCTTTATATTTCGACTGACACGAATATCGGCACGTTATATTTTGTATGTATATACATTTTCAGATCTACATCCGTATTAGATCGTGTTCTAATGTAATGACGTAATGACGCAATAAAATTGGCATAACATTGTCATTGTCATCAACTGTTAAATTAGCGAAGCTGCCGAATTAAGCATTAAATTGTGTTTTATATTCTAACTTTTTATATATTACATTAACCCTAATCCCTCCAGCCATGCCCTTTCGTGTCCCACGCGTTTCTAACGGTCGTTCGTTCCGGAAAACCAATGGCCGTGAAATAATCCCTCCCTCCCCTCAAAAAAGTTGTTATAGTAGGGAACATCAGGTAGAAATTTCAAAGCCCTAGTTCATTTACTCTCGAAACGGCAAACAGTCAAAATCGCGTTGGGACACGAAAGTGCATGGTTAGAAGATTATAAGTCAGTGTGTAAATAAGTGAGAATTTTTTTTTTATATTAGTAATTTTTTTAAGAGTTACGAAATAAATTTTCATTTTAATATTTGCGTCATTTATACATCATATTGATCATGCAACTAATAATATGGCAGTGTTGAATGCAATCATATGAAAGCGTTCAAACAACGTGAAAAAGTCAAGGTTTTCTATTTCTATTTATATTTATATTTCACTTTAAAGCTAAATTTATCTTGGGATAAATGTACCGATTTTAGTGTTGCGCCATTCTTTACCCATCAGTACCTCTCCATTAAAACTGCCGCCATTTTTCTTAATTTGAGACCTCTACACCTTGGAAAGAACGAGCCAGTGGTTCTCATTTACTAAAATTACTTATAAATATAAAAGAACGGCGACTAATATTTGTACGCACATTTTTGAATAAATATACTGAGGCTTGTAGTTTCAAACATTTAACCTATATAATATCACTTTAATGTTTTCTGTTAAACGAGCATGTTATATTTTGTGCGATATAAGGTTCAATTTAAAATAATGTCTCGATAAAGAAACGAATTGTTAAATTCTCTGCGGTAAAAGATCTTTCTTCTCGTCTAAATATGCCGCACAAATATGCGCCATACAATTCGCAACCTTACTTGTATATAGAATATAGCTCGTATGCTTTTTGCGCGCGTCATGCATGCAGTTATCACAGTCTTCTTAGTGCGCATGTATATACTCCAGTTTCTAGTTCTAACATTGCGTTAGATACTTTTTGCTCGAACATAACGTGACATTTATCTGCGTCGTTACTTATACACATTGCAGCAAATACAAGTACGAGACCCATTATCACGATATATACTTACACGTAACTTGATATGTATGTGTACTTACATTCGAGCTTTCGACATATCTTACGTTACACACTCGAGAGATAAATAATTCTTCCTTTGTAGAATAAAGATAACGTGATTTATTCGATTTGGAATCGCCATTGCATTCGGACAGGTGAGATAACTTTCTTTTCGACGTCTCGTCTGACCTGTAGGCGTCAGGTGGACGCTTTACCGGTGGAGATTACAGAAAACGATGATCGTACGTCGCGTCGCGGAGCTGTCTCGATTCTCGCTGTATCCATCAATCAATCAAGAAACAGAAGAGAGGGAATGGAAAGAAGAAAGGGGCGGAGAGAGAGTAGAGGCAGGAAGAGAAGGGAAATGAAAGCGAGAAGAAAACGAGCGAGGAAGAGGCGATTATGGAGTAGGCAGGGAAATAAGCGTGAAGAAAGAGGCAAGAGAGAAAAGGTTGGAAGTGGGGAGACCTTTTTTTCGGGCAAGAATAGCGAAACGAATGGAGACGCGTGAAAGAGAGAAAGGGGGCAGAGAGAGAGAAGAGAGAGAGAGGAGAGGAAGGAAGAGAGAGAGAGAGAGAGAGAGGTGGTCAGAGTTGCGAGATAAAGAATGATCGAGAGGTTCAGGGAGGGGAGGCTGAAAGAAGCTTCCACGAAGAAGAAAAGGGAGAGGAGAAAGGGAAAGCGAAGGAGATAAAAAGACGAAAAAAAGGGGAAGACAAGGGCTATACCCTCCCTTCGTAAGCTCACGGCTCATCGCAGTGAAGAGGGAAAGAGAAACGGTAGAGCCGAGAGAAATCTGCGCGACAGAGGGCGAACGCGAAACGAACGAGACGAGCGAGACGAGCGAGGCGGACGGGGCGGACGGGACCAAAAGGACGAAGGGATCGAAGGGGGGAGGGAAAGGGAGTTGATAGTCCTGTAGTTGTAACCCCAGCTGAGAACGACCAACGCGGGAAGGGGACTCGGTGCCACCGTAAGCGGCGAGAGGGGCAATTCAACGTCGCTGTGTTAGTGCGAGGTACAACATACGTATGTACTATCCGGTCAAAGAGAGAGGAGCAGGGAGAAGGAAGGGCAAGCGAGGAGGTACAACTAGAGGTAGTGGGAGAAAAATGAAGGGGGAACGAGCCAGCACCCGCACGCCGCACGACGACGAGGGATGACGAGAAGAGGAGAGGAGAGAGAGAATAAGAAGAGAGAGAATAAGAGGAGAGAGAGAGAGAGAGAGAGAGAAAAAGAGAGACGAGCCAAACGAACCGGCGGCACTCGGTAGAATCGGTAGAGAATGTAGAGATAGAGAGCTGGTCGCGTCGGACGCGAGGGTCGCGAAGAAGGACAAGAGAGACGAGCGAGAGAAGAGAGCCATAGCAAGAGAGCGAGCGCGAGCGGACGAATGGATGGGTAGGGTAGGGGGAGAGCGGATCAGAAGGGTCGGAAAGGATGGGGGAAAGAGGGGAAAAGGGCATCTCCCGCTCCGCTCCACTCCACTCCCATTTAGTCCGGTATGAGACGCCGTCGGTGGAACGTACTGTTGCGCGCGCTCCTTCCTCAGTTCTCGCCTGTCGTCGTCGCGCGTTGAGTTGAGAGCAGTTGAGAGAGTTCGTGTTCGTGGCTGCGGGTCGTGCCGTTAGTTGGCAAGCGCGCCGCGCGGCGCTGCCCATCGGCAGCCGTAACTTCGTGACCGCCCTGTGTCCGCAATTTCCTCATATTCGAGAAGCCGCTCTAGCCAGCGTCTCTCGTCGTTATTTTCATATTTTCAAGACGGTCGCCTCGCGACGCCGACGACGCGCGAACCGGCGCGAACATGGGACATTGGCCGGATCGCGGTCGGTTGGCTCGAGAATGACGCGCTCGGCGAACGGCGAGATCGCGCCGTACCACGCGACATCATAGGCTGGCCACCCTGCACAAAGAGAGACCGCTAAAGGGGGTGGGGGGAACGAGAGGGACAAAGAGAAAGAGAGAGAGAGAGAGAGAGAGAGAGAAAGAGAGAGAGAGAGAAACAGAGAGAGAGAGAGAGAGAGAAAACGTAGGAAGAGTCCGAGAAGCCGAGACATCGTTTCTGACCGTCGCGTCGACTGTAGCGCTTCGTACGTACGTTGTGGAGTTGTCGACATCATTGTGTCGCACGAAACGAAAAACGCGTCGCCGTTGATCCGCGCGCGCACGCGAGCGCGCGTAGATTCACCCGTGCGCTGGGAGCACGTAGCGTTCTTCCTTGCCTCCGCTGCCTCCGCTGGTATTAGGCTCACATTCTCGCGTGCTCGCACGTAAGTAAGTATGTATATCGATACACCCTGGACTCACGCGCGTCACATACATGTACACGTACACGTGCACGCGCACACAAAGTCACAAAGCAGAGTCGTAGCCTGCACTCACACATGCGCGATGCGCCGCCGGTTGACGGTGCAATCGCACAATACAGAGAGAGCATTTGCGTTTGTGCCGGGACTGCCGGGAGATGGAGCAACGGGACGGGCAGACGGACGGAGTACGGATCACAGACCGGACGAACGTACGAACGGTGTTCTCTTGGTCTGTTTTCTGTTGTATTCTCCTTTCTCTCTGTATCTCTTTCCTTCTCCCTTCTCTCTTCTCTCTTCTCTCTTTTTTCACGCATACACACACACACACACACACACATACGCGCGCGCATCCCAGCTTCTCCTCCACCGGCCGGCGGCCACCCTTCTCTTTCCGACGCATATCCTCGTATTTACGCATTTTCTCATTCCGCCTCTCGTTCTCGTTGCCTCGTCTTGGACGAAATCGCACGAGATTCACTCGTCGCGGTCGCGGGTCGCGGTTCGGTAGACAACCCTGGAACCTGGACTGGAATAAGCATCGCTGGTGTGATGCGTTATTATTAATGCGTAATTGACCATCAGGTCCATCACGTCATCAGAGACGTGATTAGATATAACTTGCATTTTCTAATACTTAATTCTAATTCGATAGAAAAGTACTCGATAAGAATTCCCGAAAAATTTCCCCAAGTTGGATGTATTCAGCGAATACATTTCTATTATTAATGCGAGTAAAATAGCAAACTTGATTAAGATTCTAGATCCAGTAAACAGGTTTTAGAAACTTTGCTTAACATTCTGCCCCTTATGGGATTATCAGTTGTACGCGAATAACTGCAGAAAGTAAAGTAAAAGCTAATTTCTTATTTCGAGGATATAATATATATTAATAAATGAATTATTTTCATGTAAAAATGTTTCATTGTGATTTCTTATAATTCGGACAACAAAATAGCTCTTGAGGAACCATAAGATTTGTATTTTCCAAAAATAAAGCAATTTTAGGGAACATTTTTAAAATTACTTTGTATTAGCCAAGTTTAAGAGTTGTAAGAAAACTTGCAGATAAATTGTTGAATGTTTAAACAAAAATAAAATTACCTCAAGGTCATCGTAGTTTATCATAAAATCCTTATTTCAAAATCTTAGGAGACAATTTATATAGAAAAAATTTTAAACACGTTTGTACGTTTGTATCCGCAAGAATACGACTCGCTCGTCTCTATGTCGACGAGCAACTTGCTTAATTACAGTTACTTGATTGCTGTATCTGTCATGTCTTATTATTAATATCTGCAATTCTGCAGTACAAACAAAACTCACGGTATCCATTCGATGGATGCCTGATCTATTAAACCACGTCACGAAGACGATCCTCAAATATATTCGATCGATCTCTCGTTTACGATCACGAATTGTTGCTATGGGAAAATCTTTTCTTCCCGTCGTTAATAAGGGAAAGTTACACACACACATACACACACACACAAATTGCTCCCCTCGACGTCCGTTTTTCGTGGCCTCTGTCTCTTTGGTGTCGCTAGGTGATTGCGAACGTTGGTTTGGCTTCTAGGATAAGGAGGGTCGTCGGACGCCCCATACTTTTCGCAAATGTTAGTACCACGGGCCGCCTAATGCCGAGACGATGCTTCACGAGCGATTTGTGATCCTTTCTTCTAACGCGCGAATTAAACGAATTAAAACTGAGAATTGCTCATTACGTTGCATTTCTTTATGCGAATCTCATTGCTTTCTCTCGTCTAATTCGCCTAAACTAATTCTGAACATTGTCACGTAGCGATGATAAAAATAATAAAATATCGTTGAAAATATCAAGATGAAATGTTTACTCCGATAAGAAACAAGAATTCGATATGGGAAAGCTATTAAAAAATAAAGACGAAGCCGCGGGGTTCGTCGCATCGATAGAATTCGTCATTCATTAATTGATTAGTATTATAGGGCAGTGTCACGCGACAGGACAGATAGAAAGAAGGAAAAAAAACGCCTCGTTACTTTGAGCATTATCCAATGCTTTGAGAAGAACACAAAGGCCGCCTTCAGCGTTCGCTTTTGCGTTCGTTTTTTTGTGCGGCGCAACGCGTTGTGGAGATGACACGGAGATGCGGGAGCGGGAGATGCTCCTAGCACGCGCTAATTTCCGAAGCACGTGTGTGTCTTTTCCCTTCGTTTATCGCGTTACGCGTTACGCGGACGTGGCGAATTTCGAGATGATTCTTTTACCGAGAATTACGTGTAGCTTAGTTTTATTACGACAAGGAGCTGAAATGCTGTGGCGTCGATGAAACTGTACTATGTCGCAACTGTATACTTGGACAATTTTCACTCGCAATCATTTCCCAAATCCAGAATATCCAGAATGATGTTTATCAGTATCATTTTTAAATGTATTCAGATATGTTTTATGATACTCGACGTGATCACAAAATTTAAAATATAATATCGCTATCGAAAATATAAAGATTATAACGTACAACGAATAAGAGATGGTAAAAGATGCGATAGATTCTTTAATCCTCGAACTGTGCCTCTCGGCTTTAACAAATGTTTATGAAAGTAATTTATGCGTGTAAAGATAATCGCGTGTCATATCTCTCTCGCTCTCTCTCTTTTACCATTTACAAAATTTCTCACGGATTACGGGATTAATCTATGCGAAAACTAAAAACATTCTCTGTGCTTTTTATTATTTGTATTATGCATTGCCTATTATGACATGTTATTAATATTATCTGAGATATTACTTGAGATGTATATATATTCAGTTTCGGAGTCAGTCTGCGCTTTCGCATTCCCGCGCTTCGTTTGCCGTGGTGAGAATTTTGCTCGTCTTCTCTTGGAGCAGTTCGGTATAAATAGACGTAGGATCGTACTAGAGATCGCGCAGAACGCGATATATACCCAAGACACTCTTCGGGAGCACGGTAATTCGGGTAATTCGGTTAATTAACGATAAAACGACTGGGATAAAACGTCGTCGTATAAAGATAAATCGATAATCGGACGAATTATTCCATTCCTTGCCGAAAATGCCGAAGAACTCGTGCCGTTTTCTTGCGATGCTATTTACATGCCTTGATCTCTCTTTAGTCCCGTAAACGTAAAACGTAAACCATACGCATCCTCCAATCATAGTTAGTTATCTGCGATAGCAGATGCAATTTACTTTTACAATTAGACTAACAATAATAAGTCAGTTATTTTCATAAATGGAAACGGGAAAAGGATGAAGATATGGGACGCGACGCTACAAGCTACAACAAAAAGACGCGTCTCGATGTAATGTAAATGGCGGAATCTGTTCTCTTTGGCGACGCACGATACACGACACACGTGTTCGCGTTTACGCGATGACGCGCGTGTTGCTCGTCAGCACTCGTCAGTACGACGGTACGCAACTTTCAACTTGTATGCCATTGAAAGAGAAGAAAGAGAAAGATCGAAATTCTTGGCGTAACCAACGAATGTTATGCGATAACTAGGTGAGTCGAGCTTATCGTCGGGCCGCAAAATACCGCGATATTCGATCAATACCGTCAGGTATATTCGACGGGCGTACACACAGACGCACGCAAATGTACACCGCGATGCAAGGGACGTTTGGCGGTTTAACCGCGCCGTCGGCGTCGGGCCGTCGAGCGCCGTGAGCGGAAAAAGCATGGAAAGGACGATTTTAAACAGAGACGGGAATAGGGAATAGGGAACACGCGTACCTACCCGTATAGTGCCGCGTACCGTGTATACAGGCGGGCTTGAGCGGGGGGGATTGGTGATGCCGAGCAACAACGGGGACAACGGGATTAGTATAGCAATAGCTACCTGAGCCACCTGAGAAATGAGAAACCTTCGGAAAATTCAGCTAGGCACATAATGATGTATCAAAACCTGAGTTGCGAATACAGCTGTTGCAGGGAAGATTTCCAACATTTTCGGAGCACCGAGAAAATATTCCGACACGAATGCCAACGAGAGAGACCATGTTTCTCATCGTTTTCAGTTGATGCAATATTACGATGCTGTATTTTATCCATTTCTCAAAAAAATATTATATGCAATGTATAATATTGATTTATGTAGTTTCGTACGTTATTTATTTAATAATATATTCGACTTTTTCTTTTTACGTGTAATCAGTAATTGTAACGGACGAATAATCCTTTGCGCAAGTTATACCTTTTATTGACGCTATCGATGTACACATTATTTTCCTGTTACATGAAAGTCTAGCTAGAATTAAGAAATTGCGTATATTTAAATATTTTAAATAATTGCGTTTATCTTTACAGATTTTGTGTTTTACGATTCATTTGTACGAGGAAGAAATGGCTGGTATCGGCAAAAGGACACTCTTATGTGATATTAATCCACATCTAATGTGTCTACTATGCCGGGGCTACCTTATAGATGCCACAACCGTAGTAGAGTGTTTACACTCCTGTAAGTAAAATCGAGATTTGCTCAGAATTTTTCTATTTGATTAACGGCGATGATTAATATGCTGTATTTTGTTCATTCAGTTTGTAGAAGTTGCATCTTGAAGTATCTCAGTACTGCAGCACACTGTCCATCGTGCAAACATGCGATCAACAAGGCGAAGCCGAATATCAAGTACGATCATAGTTTTTTGATCATTTGTACGGCAACTTACGTTATTTATTTGTACTTTTATTATATAGTAATAATAATAATGGACGATTAAATTATTATATTTGAATGTTATTTAAGACCACGATCTCTTTGCAGAGCTGACAAGACGTTACAAGAGATCGTATATAAATTGGTGCCCGGGTTATACCACAAAGAAATGCTGAAAAGGAGAGAATTTTACAAGAAGCATCCCGAACATGGTAATTGGTCAATTCGTTTCAAGGCGGTTTACGCTTAGATTGTAAACGACATTCTAAATATATTAAATCTTAATTTTTAAATAATTAGCCAACTCGGCAACGCCGGAGCAACGCGGCGAGGATGTAAGCGGACGTTTAATATTTAATCCAGAGGATCAAGTGAGTTTGAGTTTGGAGTATTTACCGCCGGGAGCAGATCCGTTGACTATATTGAGTACCAGCGACATGGATACAAACAACTCGAATAATGCCAACAGTAATAACGATAATAACGGTAATTGCAACGGTAATATTGATAGCAGAAGGTATCTAAAGTGTCCGGCTCTAGTAAGTGTGGCACACCTGAAGAAATTTATAGCGATGAAATACAGCGTTGACGTAACGAGATATACCATCGAGATTTGTCATCGACGCGCGACACTTCCCGAAAATTGGACTCTCATGGACGTCGCTTATATCTATGCGTGGAAAAGGGTTCGTATCATCTCATTAATTTGTTATTCAGATATCTATCTTTTCGATTTTCGCGAAATAATTAGTAGATTAAATTTGGTCAATGTTGACAACAAGCATTATAAACTAGATTATATTCTTGTAGCACGTGTCTGTTATAACTATATTGTTCTATAATTAATATTTTTTTATACATATAAAATAATTTTTCTACTTAAATTTCTCGCAGATTGCACCGATGAGGTTTTTCTATCGAGTGGCACAAGAGGAACAAAGACTCGAAGCACCGTTGCATCAAAGACCATCGACTCCGGGACTCGGAGCTCGGGACTGCTTGCCACCGAAGGAGGCGCATAACGACAGCAATCTAGAGAGTAAATCCGTTAACCATTTGGAAACTTCTAGATTAGAGATTAAACCTGCGAGCGACAATGTTGAGACGACAGTATCGGCAAAAGATTTAAACAAGATTGCCAATGACGGGATAATATCGCCCGTGAATCGCAAGCAAATGACAATAATCGAGAAAGACGAAGCAGACGAAACGACGGTGTCAAGGACGACTACGTCCGCAACGTCGTCGACGTTAACGACAAACGTCACAAGAACGCTAACCACAACAACGAATGCATCTCTCCCATCAGGAACAAACACGTCCCTTTCGACGACATGTAACGATTCGAACAAGCAGATAAAGAGTCCAATTAAGATACTGAAGAATCCGGACGGAAGATACGAGGTAATGAAAAGTCCGCCCACTGCTGCCGTAACAGACGTCAAGAGCCCTACGAGTCCTAATCCCGAATTTAGTGTCGTGAATTCTAATGGTGTAAAGATAACGTTGAAGCAGTGTTCGCCGCCGCAGAATAGTAGCGCGAAAAAACCAAAAGTCATCAGCAATATTCTGTTGCGTTGCGGCCAAATGGAGAAAAACACGGCGCAGCCGTCGAGTGCGTTAATGATCCAGCAAGTGCAACAGCAACAGGACAAGGACAAACTTACCACGACTAGTCCGACATTGCCGAATAAACAAGAAAAACAACGGCGTAAAGTAACCTTCGTGGATCGATCTTCAACACCTGAGAAAACCTCTCCCACTACCAGCGTTACAATGCCAAAAACCGTATTGAAAAAACCGGCGGAGCAGCAGGACAAGAAACAATTTCTACAGGGTTTTCAATTGACCGCTAGAGAACCATCAATGGACGATAGCAAGCTGAAATCTCCCGTTCGAGACATTAACGTTGGGATGAGCACCGTTAAATCTTTTCAAAAAAATAATGCGATACCGAAGATGGAAGAATCTTCTAAGAGAGACTCTGACGAAGTCAAGAAGAAGAATAACATTGAAAACACCGGCTCGAACGCGAATAATAATACCACCACGACAAATATAATTACAAAACGCGTTTCTGGAATACCTGCCAACTCACGAACATACACACACAAAACCGACGACGCAGATGGACACGCGGGTAATTCAGGAACGAGTCCAAACAGCATGAACATCGCGAGCAGCAATCATGCTGCCAAAGCAGATGTGTACACCTTCTCCAGCGATCCGCCAATTGTTCCAGCTGGAGCAGTCAAGAGGAAGTGTCCTCCGGGTGTACCGATTGCTGATCTCAAGCGTCGAAAAACATCACAGGTTGTGCAGAGACAAGAAATTAACAAGAAACAAAATTCCTCATATAATTCTGCTGTTAATAAGCTATCGCGTACTTCTTCCACAGAGCATGTAGTTCCTATAAGTTCCAGAGCGATCAATACGGTAGGAGATTACGATGCCGGGTCGAGCCGCGTGTCCAACGTGAATAATACTAAAGCATCGACTGGTCCATTGCTTTCGAACGACACTAGAGATTTGCTGGGCTATAACTACGGTTTGAATATTCCGGCGAGTTTGAGCATAACACTGACCTCGCCTAAATCTCCAGGATCTTCCGGACAATTCGTCGAACCTAACGACTCCAACGACAATAGTCGGAAGGCCGTGTTGGGCAAAGTAAACCCCAATATCACGCTGAACGACCGTTCAGTCGATCCACGCGTGTGGAAAGCTCTGAAGACTGGGCAAATCAAAATGCCAACTACTCCGTCGAAAGCTAAATCAACGGCAACAGCAGCGCCGGTGACAAAGCAGACGATGTCCACGGTGATGACCGATCGGGGTGAGACAGCGAATCAACAACGTACGACGACATTAGCTGCCAAACGGAAAAAAGAACACGAATCATCTAGGGATATTCTGGACTTGAGCGGAGGCAATAGAAAGATGGACATACATCCTCTGAGAATTCCACAGCCGGTGCCGAAACTTAATAAAACTAATAAAGTTACAGCAGGTAGAGATAGTATGCAACCGGGAGGTATCTCCGACCAAGGTCAAGTAGTGACGCTCATGGGTGGTCATAGATATTACCGAGCACCACCGGGCTCTCTGACACCCGCCGCTCATCGCGTCAACGATTGCCCGTTACCACCATCGCCATCGCCATCGCGTACACCTGTCTATGCACCGTCTTTCGGTAGCATCAACCGATCAAGTTCGGATTTCTCAAATATCTTCCCGAGCCTACCTATCTACGCTCTTCAACAGGCGCCGAATCTTCAGCAGTTTCAGCAGATGGATACAGCACGGTTGAGATTACCACCGCGATCTGCTACAGAAAGTGGAACGATATCCGCGATTGGAAGCGGTGACAACACTAATTCCAATATTAGTAGCATACCGGGGAAAAGTCACCTGGCCGCACAGTGTGCACCCATTAAGCCCGCGAGATCTTCCGTGGCACCTTTAGCGGTTCCTATTAACAAGCAACAACCCATCGAAAAATCCACAAACAGTATCAACCGAACAGTCCCGGTTGACCCGACCAAGTCTCTAGCTCTTCGTAACAACGAAACCACGGATGAAACTTGTCATGTCCAAAAGAGATACTCCTTGAGTGTCGAAAGCACAAATAATAGGTTCTTGTCGCGAAACGAATGCGTGAAGAATAATGATCGAGTCACCAATGAAACAATTAGAGATTTGAATGTCGAGTCCAGGAACGAAACGATCAATACTGATAATTCGGTGCAACAGCAGCTGCAGGAGCAACAACATCGCGAAGCAATGAGTCCTAATATCGTATCGTCAACGGCTTCACCGTCACCGCCTCCAGGTGGCAATGGTGGTATAAACGTGAGGAATGAAGATAGTGCTAACAACAGTGATACTAATATCAACAGTAATGATTCGAACGAAAGTAACACCGTGACGCCTGGTCAGACAAAGAGCATCAGCTCTGAGGTGATGTGCAGCAAATCGCCAGATAGTCCGGATTCCAGTTCGATCACAGTAGAGAATTCGGGGACGACGAGCAAGGGTTCAACCTTAACGGATCGGGAAATGCCGATGGACGTCCAGACGTCGCCGGACACGGCAAAAGCCTCGGAATCGACTGTGAATCCAGACGACAACCCCGTCGACGATTCGACCGCTACTAACGACAAGAATAAGTTTGCCAACAACAAATCGGAAGCAAGTGAAATCGCGAAACAATTGATGCAAAAAAGTTTGCTAGCAGTTTTTCCTTCAACTGAATGGGCGAACAATCCCATAGCCGCTGCACATCTGGGAAACTTTCTCAAAAGTTTGAACTGTCCGATAAAGAGCGAGGGATTCACCGAAGGTTCCAAAGCAGAAAAAGTCGATCAGAAAACCACCGATAATGACGATAATAAGAATCGGTAATGACACCTTCGCGAAAGTGAGAGATTTTCCAAGGCAATTTCGAGCGATCGTAACAATCTTACGAAATTTCAAGAACGATACGTTTAACGTGATATTTAACATCTACGTGACAACTCGACACAGAATTTTATAATTTGACGAGAGTTTTCAGTTTCTTTTATCTTGATTGATTGATTGTAGATTGTAGGCCGGAGATTTCACTGAATCGTATCTAGTTATCTCGTTGTAATACGCAGAAAACATTAATGAGAAAAATATATGGCAAGCCGAGCACAGATAAACTCTGAGACACTGCCATACAAATCGAAAGATGCATAAAATTATTTTTAACTGACAATGAGATGTACACAGTTATACTACAATTCACGCAGTGCAAGGGGAGAATCTTATGATGAGATAAAAGCATTACGTTATACGATATACGTATATTATAGAATAGATAGGGTAAAGAGCGCAGTAGACCGAGAATCTTATTTTTTCAAATTTTTTAAAAATAATCTCACATATTGAAATAATCTATATAAAATAATATATACAGACTACCACACATTACTAGTCCAAAAACTTTTAATATTCCGGAAAAAAGAACCTGTTACTTTAATCTGAGTTTTCTTCTTTCTGTTGCATATATAGTACATACCAAACAAAAAAAAAGAAACAGTTTTTGCAATCAATGATATATAACTGATTAATTGAAATGGCTTATCCAGCAAATGAGCTTTATTTTATATCTTTTATATTTTAAGAGCCAATACTGCAAATATTGGCTACTAAAGTTGGATCCTCTAAAACGATTGGCTCAATAATTACCTAATTAATAATATATACAGTCGAATCTCTGTATTCTTAACATGTCGGGACCAAACTTCATATTCTTAACACTTTCTCTCGGATCTTACTTTAATATGCATGTGCAAAGAATTAAATCGTCGGGTCTTTTACTCCACATGATTACATATATGGTTACATATGAATACAGGTAACAAATATGAAATAATAAAAGAAAACAATGCAGAAAGAGATACTAAGAATACGGAGATATTAGGAATGTGGAGATTCGACTGTAACAGAGGCGGTTGATTATAGTTTACAGCTGTATGGAAAAGTAACAAAGAGCCAAAGAGTCCGCACCTTCTTTAATATAAATTCAAAATCATCTACACGATACACGTCACAAAATTTTCCTAATAAAACTTACTAGTTCATATCAAGTGCTAGAAAATTGAAAATTTCAAGCATTTTTGATCTTCCATTTTATACTTAGCATTATCACATTCTAATTAGAATGTAGATTTGAATCCGAGGAGCAGACATTTAAAAGTAAACATGACTATTGCAAAATTCAAGAAATATTTATAAAACTACAATTTTTTAAACAACGACGCCTTTTATATTATTCTTATATACCGTATATAAAGAAAATTTATAAAAAATGAATATTCACAGAATTTTTTCATAAAATTGTAAATTGTTAACAAAAAATTATATTTTAATGTATTAAGCTTTTATTATCTTATCTACCGATAGCTATATATTTTATTATATATTATAATGTATGTCGCACTAAATCAGATATGAAGATTATAACATGATGCGAGTACAGTTCCATATACATATATATATATACGCAGATCTGAACAATATTCTTGGAAAACGAAGAATCTTACAGTCTAAGTGCTATTGTTAGTATTTTTATTTTTTATGTTACGTTTTATGTATTAGTAACATGCGTAATATCAATACGTTGTATATCGATAATTGTTGCATACGTTATGCGATTGCGCGCAATGCGTTTGTATTATATTAATTATTGTATTATTTTGGGATTGTATATATTTATAATTATTATAATATAGCAAGAGAGCGTGGGACAAAGTTCTTGCCTCGAAATTCCTGTTACTTTATAAATCGAAAGTTGATTGAGTGCATTTCCTGTGTTTAAGTATTAATTTTGAAGAAAAAGTAAGATCGTATAATAAAAATGAATATAAAAAGAAATACATCATTCACATATTGCATTATACTGCACCAGGAACATACAACAATGAACATCTGTGTTGTGAGCCGTGTTGTCATTACGTACCTATACTTATTGTAAATTTTTTTTCGATTTTTACCCAAAACAGAAATGTGGCTTTTTATTTCTCGTTGTAGACATTTTATCGTGTATTAATTTATACAATTCTTGTGTCGCATCTGTTTTGAAATAAATTTTCCTTTAACTTAAAGTATTTTATTTTATCTTCCTCGAATCTTTATAAGTACAACAGTTATTTAAATATAGTCCATTATCAATTTAATAAATTGTCTATGCGTTTATTTTATTAAATTTTTTATTACAAATAGATCTGTAGGTAAACTCAGTTCTTATTGCATACATACATATACCAAATGTATTGAATATGATAATAATGGTATCGAATATAAGTTGAAATATGAAAGAAAAGCTAAAACGCGTTTTAGCTTTTCCAGCAATATTTAACTGTCAAAAGCAACAATTGAAAACTAGAACTTACAATGTGGATCTGATTGAATTGACCAATCACAGACGAATATTAGCCTCAAGGGTCGCACAGTCGTGTTTTTTGAACGCAACTACATTGGGCGCGTTCAGCAGACACAACAGTTGCACAAACAGATTTTCATGGGCAGTGAAATGCAGCAGGCAGCAGCGAGCAGCAGTTTAGTAATTTCCTAGAAATGTTTGGCTCACTTCCGGTGCAAATTTTTGCTATTCGTGAAATTGGTCCTATACAGCCAATACTGAAGCCCGAATTTCGAGCAGCAAAAATTTACGCCGGAAGTGAGCCAAACATTTCTAGGAAATTACTAAACTGCTGCTCACTGTTGCTGAAAACTTGAGATTCAATTCAACTTTACTTTTTTTTTTTTATAAGAACTATGTGGCCATTCGAAATTTTTATGTTGTTAAATCTATTTATAAATTCACAAAATTAATCTGATTTAAAGGACAATTAATTTTGTGTCCGATACATTATATAAATCGATCGTTGTTCGTTTTTTCTATCTTTCTTGAAAAATCACGGAAAAATCGCGGATCTTGTCACATAAAAAATTTCTAAAGAATATATAAGAGTAATTTTACAAGATTTGTCTTTAATATCAATCATATATATTTTTTACTTGTAAATCAGATATCATTTACTTCATCGATATCGTTTTACTCTAAATAAGTGTGAATCTCTAATAGTTTTGGCGCTTATATGTGAAATAAGTAGATCTTTTAAAGCAATGGAATTAAAGATTTGTCCAGACCGTCCAGACTTGCAAAAAAGTATAATGCAAAAGTATATTCAAAAGACTCAATCAATCGCACCAACGTGAAGAATATGGAAAATGTGGAGAATAATAATAATAAAATGTGTATAGATTCGAGGAAGATAAAATAAAATACTTTAAGTTAAAGGAAAATTTATTTCAAAACAGATGCACACAAGAATTATATAAATTAATACACGATAAAATGTCTACAACGAGAAATAAAAAGCCACATTTCTGTTTTGGGTAAAAATCGAAAGAAAAATTTACAATAAGTATAGGTACGTAATGACAACACGGCTCACAACACAGATGTTCATTGTTGTATGTTCCAGGTGCAGTATATGCACGTATTCATTTTTATTATACGATCTTACTTTTTCTTCAAAATTTATAATACTTAAACACAGGAAATGCACTCAATCAACTTTCGATTTATAAAGTATAACAGGAATTTCGAGGCAATTAAGAACTTGTCCCGCATGCTCTCTTGCTATATTATAATAATTTATTATCTAATTTTCTACAAAGTTAGATTAGGAGCACATACAAATAAATTTGAAACATTTGTAAACTTAACGAATTACGTGAACAAGCAAATTACGTGTCTGTTTTTGAACGAAAAACGGAATTGTATTCGCATACACTACACGTTTGAGCTTGTTACGTCGCACTCTCGACGATCATACGCATTTTGGAGCAAGCTCGCTCCGGACGCTCCCTCGTTCGCGATCGTTCACGATCGCGACAAGAAAGCGTCTTTCCACGCGATTCACTGGCTACGTTCTGCCGATACTCCGCTAGCCTAGCAATCGTGAGCAATCGCTCGTTTCCTCTCCTTTTAATCCATTGGGTCAAAGGAGAGGAAACGAGCGACTGCTCACGATTGCTAGGCTAGCGGAGTATCGGCAGAACGCAGCCACTCATTCGAAGTAGAAATCGAAACGGAGGCAAGAGACACACGACACGAATTCCAAGGTTATCGTCTCACTGCGACACGCGGGACAACGATTCTATTAAAGATTCGGATGTATCGCGCTTCGAATCATTTGTCTCTCATGCACAATTCACTTACCGATCACGGCACATTGCAGAAGACCCGTCAAATCACAGCCGGGAGGAAGCAGGAGGGTGATACGTACGGGCGTTCATTTCGGCCATCCCACTTGTTGCAGTCGGCACGAGAAGAAACAGAATACAGAATATTCGGCGTACATATTCAGCTTGCAACACACACACACTCTGTAACCGGAGGATTTCTTTTCGTTCACGAGAACACGAGAAAGAAAAATTACACGAGCGACAACGTCTCGCCGCGACCCGCCATTCGTATCGCTCGTACGACGTACAGACGTTCAACGAGCAACGTATTACTTGCGCGCGCGCCGCGTGACGAGTCGAATGTGGTCGAGTGTCGAGTCGGGACTGCCGGGAGCCCCCGAATCCGGCCGAATCACGTTCGACCTTCGATCGCCTTCGGCCGTTCTCGCTAGAATCCCTACGGCGCGCGCGGCGGCGTACGGCGCTACGGTGCAGCCATATTTTGTAGTAGTAAGAAACAATATGGCGTTGAACCACGTGATTTAGTTAGCCAATCAGACGGTTTCCTTCAATGTGGGTTCTCTAATATCTAGGGACTTTGTCTCAGGCAAAACGCTGATTGGCTGATATATCAACATGGCCAGCCACTTGTTCCCCACCATTCTCATTGGTTAATCATCTTCATGCGCAAGAGCACACCTTTTCTTTATTGCACCAGAGAGAAACCTGAGAGAGGCCATCCCGGCCTTTTTCGTGTGTTGCTGTGTTGCATTTTCCGACGCGCCGCCTGAGAAAATGCAACTCAACTACGTCGTATCGCTCGGTAACCGCACATGGTTTGCGTCCGTGCTAGGTTCGTGCCGAAGCCGAACTAGCCAGCTGGAGGGGATATTCTGGCCGCGGCGGCCGCGCTTCCATCTTGCGTATTCCAATTAATAACGAATTACGATAATTAAAATTACAAAATTAAGATTACATTCTTCAAAATTATTACGAACTTTGTATCTCATAATTTTGAAAAATATAATCGTAATTTTATAATTTTAATTTTCAGATAAATGTCAAATTTTGCAAGCAAGAAGCTATTATTTGAGCGTTGATTCAAACCTTCACATTTATGTGAAAATTATAATAATTAACGATAATTTTTAAAATGTGAAATTCTATAGATAAAGAATAAACACCGTTATTATCTATTAAGAAATCGTCTTATGTTGATTTCGTATAATATATCCGGCATTAGTATCATACAATTTCAAATTTATTACACGTTTCCTTATAATTCCTTATTACAATATAATTTTCTTATAAATAATGTTACATATGGACGGGTAAAAGCCATAGTGGTGTAAGTCAAATTTTTGAAAATATTGTCTTGTATGCATAGATGCAATTTATATATTGTATAAATTTTGATCGCATATAAAGCTAAGTAGCGAAGCACCTCGCGAGGTAGAGAAGTGTTTCGCGAGGCAAGGGAAGCATCTCGCGAGGCAAAGGAGCGTCTCGCGAGATAAAAGGAGGGTTTCGCGAAACAAGGAAAGCATCTCGCGAGGCAAAGGAGCGTCTCGCGAGATAAGAGGAGGGATTCGCGAGGCAAAGGAAGCATCTCGCGAGGCAAAGGAGCGTCTCGCGAGATAAGAGGAGGGTTTCGCGAGGCAAGGGAAGCTTCCCTCGCGAGGCAAAGGAGCGTCTCGCGAGGTAGAGGAGTGTTTCGCGAGGCAAGAGAAGCATCTCGCGAGGCAAAGGAGCGTCTCACGAGGTAGAGGAGCGCCAAAAATCCATAATTTTGATCGGATATAAAGCTGAGTCTAATCAACCGAATTTAAAAAAATTATATATGAAATAGGAGTAGAAAAAACTGAAAAATATAATAAAATTAGAAATAGATAGATATCTCCAAATTTGCTTAAGTTAATATGTTCAGAGTATTCTAAAATGTCGAAACATTGCATTAAAATCGCATGTCCGTACGTATATATGTACGTATGTGCAGATTTGATGTCCGAGCTTGCTCCAACTTCCGCAAATTTGAAGATATCGATCTATTTCTAATTTTATTATATT